ATATTTATACTAAAGCTTTGGGATGAGCAAAAATTCAATATATTGTTTCATTTATATATTATAGTGTACCATTTTTCCATAAAATTTTATCATTCTTATATTACTACATGGTTCACAATTAATAAACGATAAGTTCAAGCATAAAAAAATCAGTCAGTTTTTGTTTTTTTTGAGAAATGTAACTCTTTCCATGGGATTATTGAGTGAGCATTTTTGTAATTACATTGTATTTTGTGGATTGAGATAGGAAAGTGCTAATTTTTTTTTTCTTACAAACTTCCCAACACTATAACAACTAACAAATATATTTAACACACAGCAGCAGAGTTGTTATTAACTTATATCAACAAATTGCAGCATAGCGGCTGTATGTTTTGTGTAAACACTAATGTAGAGATGTCAACATACAGGTTAGACTCTCCAGCTGAGACGCAGGAATGCTATATGGGCAAAATTCCTGAAAATAGTAAAAAAAAGGTCAAATGAGGTAAAGGGGTAAATGATCAACAGTAAGAGACTTTGAACTTCAAAGTCCCTTTTTGTCTATTTTTCAGGCTTATAAGTGACCTGTTTTACCTTCAGGACTTCCACGGCAGATTATATAGAAAAAATATATAGCTTGTGAATTGCAGCTACAGATATAAATACACATAGCTTTATACTGTTTCTGTTCAGCAATATACAACTGGACAAACACTTAAAATGTTTTTTAACCTGCAGCATGCCACATTTTTATGTCATTAATTTCCTGTCATGTGTTCATGCACAAATGAAAGTAGGGTTAATGTTTTGTTGTACTATTGCAAAAGGGATTGTAATGCTTAATCTCACTGATAACAGTCTTGTTTTTTCCGGTTTATGAGAGCCCTGTGAGTGTGTTGATCCATGGATGCATGTGTTTGTGTACCTTGGGCACAGCTACAGTCTCTGATAGTCTGCACAGGAGAGTCCCTGCAGTGGCTTCCTCCCCACGGGCCTCTGAACACATCAGGACACATGGTCTGTTTATTGGGCAGAAACCTAGTCAGCTGGATCAACCTGACAGCAACAGTCAGTCATTACTCAAGTAATGCAGCACAACATAGCTTCTCCTCTGTTCTCTCTGAGATGTTTATTTATCATACATGCATCTGTCCATTTCTTATCTCCATATTATATATTCACCTTCACTAAAATAGAAATTATAATCTGCACTGTTAAGTGTATGCTTTCCTCAGGACACTTGAATACATACATTTGTGCAGCCTAAACCATTGGCAATGGGGTATTTATATGCTGCATTGGAAGTGAGACCCATGGTCTGTGGGCTGCCTCCATGGTATGATCCTCTGTAAGACAAAAATCAAACAGAAACATTTTGGACTTTAAGACTACAGAGAGCTTTTTATCAACAATCAAGCTATCACGCTAAACAATGTGTGACATGCTAAATGAATATAAGGCTATAATATCGACAGACATTTTTTTATATTCCTGAGATGGACCTGGAATCATAAACCTTGTCATTGATTGTTTACTCAAACTGAATGCTTCTCCTCCCTGTACCTTATAACAGACTCTATTGTTGTCCTAATAGCATCTTGAATTAATGGGAGAGAAGGACAAACTACCTCAAAACCAACAAAGACATCTATCATCAGCCTGGGAAAAATGTAAACACTGCCTGTGAATTTTAGTCTTGCTATATATGGGTTAGGTAGTTAGTGCATTATGACGCATATACGCATGTCTGTTTCTATTGATCAATATTAAACAATACTGGTGACTCAGTACCTAAGAGTGATGATGTCAAAGTTGCCTGTGTGAAGTCGAGCCATCAACATAGCCAGGTCATTGGCTTCTGAGCCGCTGTTGGTCAGATATATCACCTGGACAGGGGAACAAAGACCAGCAAGCATTTTAATTACAGCCTACATATTTATCCAGGCTCACGCACTCAGGTGATCAAAATGAAAAAAGCCACCAAGGTACCTTAAGTGGATCTGGGAAGTAGGAAGCTAGTTTCTCACAGTACTCATGGAGAGGAGGATAGACGTAGATGTTAGTAGTATGCCACAGTCTCTTTAACTGCTGCTCTGCTGCTGCGGTTACTTTCCTGTATCCACAGATGTCAGGTATTAGATATAAGAACAGCCATGATTGAATGAATGATTTGTATAATTAACTGTATATCAGAATAAAACATCACTGTAGGACACAGGAAAAGAAAAAAAGGACCTTACGGGTGGCAATGGCCGACACTGACAGTAGCCACACCAGCAAATAGATCCAGATATCGCCTCCCATCTACATCCCACAGCCACTGCATGTATCCCTGGTGAAGGAACACTGGTTTCTTATAGAGGGTAATCTTCATGGTCATAGGGTTGCAATACTGTCTGCGGATCTCCATCATGCGCTCTTTGGACATACCCTGGACACAGACAAATACACAGGACAGGAGTTACAGTAGCCTGTTTTCAAAGTGGAACTGGAACTGGAGTCTGTTTGTGTGCCTGTAAAAAAAAGCCACTGTAAATGACATTGAGAATAAATGTACCAGCATGAAATATTTACTTAGTCTGACATAACAACATTGTTTATTCATCACAGAGTTTGTTACTGAATGTAAGATCCCATATGCTTGGATGATATTACATTTACCTTGTATTCCTCTGGTTTGAAATTGCAAGGGGGCATGTCTGGGAGGTCTGTGGAAGGGTATTTGAAGGCTGATTTCTGACATAATGCACCTGTGAAATAATTTTGATTGAAGTTCAGACAAGGTAAAAAAACACTCATTCTTTGAGGACTTCATGAGCTGCAGTACTTGGCTGAGACTGATCAAAGCTTTTCTATGACATTTATTTGACATTTTGAATTCATTTGTGAGACAACCTGCCAATAACAATTTACCCAAAGGTCATGTGTGTGTGTGTGTGTGTGTGTGTGTGTGTGTGTGTGTGTGTGTGTGTGTGTGTGTGTGTGTGTGTGTGTGTGTGTGTGTGTAGGTTGTAAAATGTAGCGCAGAAGGAGCTGTAGTCTGGCTTGCAACTATTCAATTTATTATATCAAAGCAATATACTCCTGAAGAAACATTTAACTTTTGCAAAGAGGAGGTGGGATTATGTAAAGGTATAAGTAGTCCATAACTGACTATTCCCTCTTCCTGTGTAGGTTCAATTCAACTTTTAATTAATCAATTATAACAATTTGTGGTATAATATGCCTGAAATTATTGCAATTCCTATATTTTTAAGTCTTCTGCTGCAACTGAATGTGGTGTAGTTACTCATATGTTGAGGTTACCGGATCGAATCAGCCTTGTTTAAATAATGGAGCTTCAACAGTCAGCTCAACATAGCGGTGGTGTATACTGTTATTCACACAGTAGTGATAGTAGTAGTTGATCAGGTACACCTAACTAAAACTAATGCAGACAACAGTCCTATAATAAATGTCACCAGAGGTGCTGATTCAGCTGTATGATCCATTTGGAGGATATAGTTGTGGTGTTGTTGAACTGTATTCTGTTATTTAGCCTACACTCATTGATATAAATGGGGCGGACAAAATAATAGAAACACCTGTAAGTATAACACAATACAGTTCAACAGCACCACAACCACATACAGTTGATTCAAAACCTCTCTTAAACAACAAAAACTGAACGTTATAAACAGTGAGACAATGTGACTACAGCACAATTCTGGGGTACTTTTACTTCATTTAACTAATGTTAAGTATCTTTGCTGCATATGCTGCTTTATACCTTTATAGAGGCAAATATTGTTCTTCATACTCCACTGTAATTATCTGACCACTTACTTTACAGATTAAGATTTTAAAAAACAAAACATACGATACATTTATAAGACTTTATTTTAACAGAACGGCTGCTTTTACGTGAGTAAAAGAGTAACAACTCCTTCGGACCACATGTTATACACTTGATTAATATAGGGTAAGACTCGTTTCAGTTTTAGTTTGATGTAATTAAATGTCAATTGAGTATGGCGTTAATGTCAATTAATCAAACTAAATTTAAATAACCCCGAATAACGTTATGGGTTTATCACATTCGCGTTAATGCACATTTTTTTCACAGCAGACACTTTGATATGACATAGTAGGGTAAACACAGGTGTTACTAATTAAGATTCAGTAGAGCCAGAAGAAGTAGAGCCAAAATGGCTACTGTGAGAAAAAAAAAAAGGTCAGTTTGAGCTAAAACCTTTAACACTTACCAAATTGTGTCACATTATAAGTCACGTCAGCAACGTTTTCATAATTAACGTTACCAGGTAAATGAACACATGAACCCATGTTCTGGTTGCAATACGCAGCAAGTAACAGACCATAATAACCACAATATTTCGTTCGTCTCCATGGTAACTCACCACTTGCCAAGTGGAATTTGGACAAACCAGGCCGACTGCAGGACTGTCCTGTTAAAGCTGCACAGCGGCCACTTAGACGGGACACAACTTTGTACATGTTTAGCGGACACAGGGGGGCACACGGCTGTCTCACTACCTTCACCGTCTGACACACTCACGCTTTTTCTTTCTTTCTTTTAAAAAGTTTTGGGGGTGGGCTGTCAGCGCACGGTCAGTCGATTGAGCCTCTGGAACGTCACAGGATGCGTGCGCACGTACACAAATCACGATTGTAAACAAAGTGTGTCACGTGGCATAATAACGCGTGTCTCTATCTGCATTAGTATAACGATACGATTCTTTAAAAAAAAAAAAAACACAACAACTTAACTGACAGACAAATAGTTAAAACATCTAATGAAATAGAATAATACACAGCGGATTTAACTTCATAAGGCATGGTTAACACATTTACTTTCTGTACCTTTTTCCCAGTGATATAATTTAAATCTGGAAGATAATTTCCTTTTTTACATGTACACTGATTTTTTGATTGATTGATAATAACACACGTGTAATAATAACAAGCATGCAATTATCAGTAAACTAGCTGACACAAAATAAAGATCAGAGACCATCCCATTACTGTATATTATGAATTTATTATAAGCATTATTTTTTAGATTTGATTGCTGTTTCAAATTTCATTTTGTATATGGACGGCTGATTGTTTATGAAGCTATACATAGGTACACATGCATGCAAAACAAAAGAAATGGCAAAACACAGCAATTTATCACTGTTAAACAACAGAGACAGTCACTTAAATAGTGTTGTCATGGTTCACCTATTTTCCCATCCCAAAACATAACTCTTCGTAGAAATAACTTTAAAATCTTTAGTTTACCACTTAACCAATCAAAGCAGTAATTAAGATATGTCTATACAAATAAATTGATATACATAAAACAATCTCTGAATGAAAATTTCTCTCTATCTATATTCTATCTTTCCTCTGATTGAGCCCCTGCCAGTACTTTGTACAGCCGAGTTGTTTGTGCATCCTTGGGATGTACAAAAACATGCAGTCTCACTCCGCCTACTTAATTCTCTGTCCTTTTATCCCCTTTCCCCATAGAGCCTATTTTTAGTTGGTTTAAAGTGAAGACATTTATTATTTCAGGTTACTTTCTGCATCATTCATTTGTTTTGGCGCGTTGTGTTTAGCGGCTCCTCTAATCATTTAGCAGAGGTGAAGGCAAGCAGTCATATCAGAATACTAAGGAAATCATACATATGTTTATCCGATTTTCATACTGGGATCACAGCAGAATTGTGCATCCACAAGCACCTGAACAGAAACTGCCAAGATAATAATAATAATGATGATTTATTCATGATTTTCTATTTATTTAAAAAGGTAAAATCGAGTGATTGTTTCACACTGGCCAGCAGGAGGGGCTTCCTGCACTTATGGCTTTAAGACGTAGTGTTCTACAGGGAGCAGAGAAAATACGGACATATAAAAATGGATTCATAATTTTAACAGATGATGTTACACCAGTATACATCAGTATATTTCAATATAAAAGTTGATGACAGAGAAAAAGATTTGTGATCAATGACAGCATAAAGTACCATTTATACAACCAATAATATTTTGTATAAAGTTGATTGAAGATTATTCATCAGATCACTCAATCAAATTGTTTTGGATTTTCACTGCAGCGAACAGATATCTTACATAATGAAATGAAATGAAAAACAAATAGGCTAATGGTAATTCTGTAACAGCAAAAAATAAAGTCTTTGCAACTATTTTTAATGTAGTCACCCAGTGTTAGTGTTTTTTTGTCCCAGTCTTTGCCTAAAACAGGCCTTGCAATGTCCCAGACCTTCCAGTTGTGCCTATGGGTCACCTAGTAAGTGGGCAGTATGCACATGGTGGCAGTGTCAACATAACCATTCATTCCCAGGACCATTTCATCCTGTACCGGCATGGCTGTAGGCTTCTGTGTAGTGGTAACTGTGGACGACGTGTAGCAGTTTTCTTTCACTCCGTTCGTCTCCTGGTGCTCACAAGGACACCTGTCTTCTTCCATCATATTTCTCTGAAGCAGCAGCACATTGTCACTGTCCACCCCCTTCACCTTGCTGTAGTCCTCCCCCTGCGGCATCTGGGGACTGCAATTGTTTTGGCCACAGCCTGACACAACGGGCTGGAGATGCACCATATCCTCCTCATTGACCCTCTGGACTTCCACGTACTCAGTGGGCCGGAGAAGGGGCGACTGCAGACCAGCAGGTGCCTGTTTGCGGCCGATGCTGGATATGTCGACATCACTGTGGGCCTGGAGTTGCTGGCGGGCCTGTGTCTGGGGATGGAGCAGATGAGGCTGCTTGTTGCTCAAACAGAACTCCCAGTAGCTCGGCCCGAGAGCCTCCTTGGTGCCGTGACCAGGCTGGGTGAGGTAGGAGGATGTGGAGCTTGGGAGGAACTGGCTGTCGGAGAGGTAGTGCTGTTTGGCCATCTCAAGTGAGCTCTGTTCGTCCAGTGTGTTTGAGCTGTACTGGGGCAGCGGAGAAAACACAGAAGGCCACGTCTTCACCCTCCCACTGGACATGTCAGGGCTAACCATGTCTTCTGCCTCTGTCCCCATTCTTTCCTGATCTGTTTGCCTCTCTTCCTCTTTTGCCTCTCCACACTTATCCATAAGCAGAGTGTGGCTGTCACAGCTGCCCCGGCCAGAGTCACTGTCAGATGTGGAGCACTCAGATTTGAGGCAACCATCATGTAGATCCTTGTTTTCCTCCAGCATCAGCTCCTGCTCTTCGGGAACATTCACCTCTAAATACTCCACCAGCAAGTCCTCATAGTTATATGACGTGGTTGGGGGGAAATCAGACACCACCAGTGCACTGAAGAGCTCCTCAGACTTGCCATTCTAGACACAAAGAGAGGAAAATTCAGTTGTAGTGGTGATACAATCAGTGTTTTTTCTGATTTAAATATGATTATTGGCACCAGTTTTCGAGGGTGATTGTATAAATCAAAACGTTGTTCCAGATGTTGCTGCTTTACCTTAAGAAGCTGGTTATCAAATCCTTTGATTTTAGGACCAGGGACTGGTGGCAGAATGCAATGCTTCAAACTTCACACATGAAAAAAACAGAAAATCGATGTCAGTGTTTTTGAGCAGCAGATGAAAATCAATAAATATCATAACATAATAAAATTCTTGTCTTCTTGTTGATAATAAGGCTAACTATTAAGTGTTTCCATTTTTTGAAAATCTTGAATTATCAAAAGCCCCCCCAAAAATATATAAAATAAAATAATAATAATTTAGTTGCCATTAATGTTAAAAAAATACTATTACAATAATTGTTAAAAAAAAAAAATATAAAAATTTTAATTTTTTGAGATGTTCTAAAACCTTGAAATCTTAAGTAAATATTTGAATGCATAATTATCCCCATTATCTATACATTGCAAATTCAAAATTTTCCCAATGACAGTGAAGTTATAGTCAGACTTTTCTATTCCTTACTAACATTTCATTAAGAGAGTGAAATATGTCTGTGCTTAACACAATAAAGGTAATGGGACAGTTATGTCATGATTTCAAAGAAAATAGTCAAAATTAGATTAAGTTGTGATCTTTAGGCAAGTGTGAAAACTGTAGCTGCTCTAGGCCTCTGCACATATAACGTGTGCTTATAACAATAATAAAAAACAAGTAAACATTTGCCAAACAATTTGCACAAGGAATTCATGATCACCTGTGGCTGTTCATGTGTAGCAACCATGTGAGGATGAGGAAGATGAAGGCAGAAAAGACCATAATAAGGATCCACACTGACTTCTCACGATGGAAATCTGTAAGACACAACATGACGACGTGAGTGCTTCAACATAGCATACAACCGTGTACTGTCTTATTATCATTTTATTCCTGTGTTGATCAATATTATACAAAACCCCTCCTGGCTGTAGCGTCATATTTAACAGACTGATATGAGAGTGGTGATGATTTTGAATATTTCCCAAAACTATTCTTCTAATATATGCATTATATTTTATGGTAAAAAAAAATATATGTATATATGTATATGTATATATGTATATGTATGTACTGTCTTTGCTGTATAGTGTAGATAAGTAGTTGGTAGATGTCTTACAGTCAGGAACTTTGACGTAGGAAGTGGAACTCCATTCACTCCAAAAGCCATGATCGGGCTTGCAGCGCACCTGAACAAGGTATGTACCACCTGACCTCAGGCTGAAAACATTAAACATCTTCTGCTGGCCGGCATGGTGCGTCTGTAAATACAACACACAATTCATACAACATGAGCAGTTCTGAACATACAGATTAACAAACATTGAATGGTATACAAAATAAGACAGAAATATCCTGCGGTGAAAATGTACCATCCTGTCAATATCTCTAAGAGATCAGAGGTTAAAGTCATCTGCGGGACAGCACCCTAGGCATTATTCAATGACTACCACCAGGCCATTCCCTTTGTATGAGTAACGTGTTACATACCTCCCAGTCCTTTTCCTGCTCCAACTTGACACGGATCTGGTAGACGAGAGTGATCCAACCGGAGCGGGTGTCAGCCTTATGTGGTGGTTCCCATGACACACGGAGGAAGGGCCAGCTCTTGTCCTCCAATACAATCACTGTTACCCTCTCTGGAGGATTAGGCTTGACTGAAGAGGGACAGAGAAAATGTGAATGAGAAAAGGTGTGTGTGTGGTTGAGAAGCAGGAAGGAGAAAAACAAGTTTAAGTGGATAATAATGTCTATAACACAGTAACACAATAGGAGCCACTATGACTGTGCAAAACATCAGGCTAAACCACTGCAGGTTGCCGATACACAGTAGTGTGTGTCCATGTCTATTCCTCTAAGTAATAGTAAATGAATAGGCACCTCCAGCGGATGAACACTGTCACTGCAGCAGATTCCTTCCAAATATTTGTAGTGGTTAAGATAAATGTTAATGTTTAGAAGTTCTTCTTGGAGACACATAGTTGACACTTAAGTAAGAAAAAGACGTCATGAGCAAAGATACTGCTTGAAGACAAGAGAAAGCAGGAGAACTTTCAGATAAGCAGCCATAAGGGCAAGGTGACTATTTAAAATCTTTTAATTCTGTGGCTTTACACTCCCTTTTGGATATTTCATAAACAAAACAACATGCTTTTGTATTTAGCAGCATGACAGAAAGGGACTAATTCCATACCTCATACAATATTTATATATTGTTACATAATGTAAAGTTAGGTCTGCCCAGTGTTAATATTTGATCAGATGAAAAGAAAAGGCTGGAATTGTTCTAAATTCTTATTGCCAACAAATCCCATGAAAAGACCAAAACCAGCGTGTATTTATCTCGCAATACTTTTGAAACTTCCCTACTCTGTGGCTTTCATCCCAAAGCCCCATTTGTTCTCTACTTTTAAAACAGGTCAAAAAGATATTTTTGTATGTAACAGCAGAGCACTGGAGATTTTAGAAAATGTCACTTAAAGAGGAGAAAATAGTGCAGTTGTTGGGGACTATTTTCAGCCATGGATTAATACGTATTTGGTTCTCTAGTGAGCCGGCAGGATTGTGTTGTGTGTGTGTGGGATTGACTCAAACTAAACTTGTGTCTATTTTGAACAAGTCAGCAACAGTGTGGCATAGAGGAATAAGATGTATTAGTCTTTGGATACACAGACAATACTTGTTCTAGTAATTGTAGCTCATTTTGTTCTTTTTACAGGATCTGTGGACAATAAGAAAAATATCTTTTAATTCACTTTCTCTTATATTTGGTTTGATCATAATCAACCTTTATTCGGCAGGCTGAAAAAATACTGTTTTTAATTTCCCTGCTTTAAAATGGTGACCTTCAGTGCGCAGTTACAGCTGGAGGGGGGGTTAATACACTCAGAGAGCATTAGCCCCAGTGTAACCCAGTGTGCCGTTGAGCAGCTGTGTGAGTATGCATTAAAATACACTGTTTTTAATCCTCATGGGGAAATTGTGCCTTGAACATCACATTCACACACAAGAACAGATACGACCCAAATAAAAAAAAAAAGCACACATTCCCTCACCAATGTAAACCACATCTATGTCCACAGGGTCGGAGAAGGTGCTGCCCAGTGCGTTGGTGGCCACCACAGTGATGTTGTAGTTAACCCAGATGGACGTGTCGTTCTTGTTAAAGAAGCAGGAGTTCTTTCCAGCTGTGTGGTAGTCGGGACACTCGTACACCGTCTCAGAGCTGCAAGAGAGGCAGGGGAACAAGCATGTGATTGCATGTTTGTGTCTGCAACATTTCCGAATAGAACAGCACGGTCTCTTCATGCTACCTTTAACTGCAAGATGAGACAAACAGGAAGCAAGGCTTATTGCAAGATAAATGTGGCTTTTTTTTCCTGAACTGTAGACAGAAATAGAAGAAGAGGCTCTCGGCATTAACTACAACAAAAGAGATCAGTGGACTACTGTGCTTAAAGGATAATACGAGTCATTTATTTCCTGTTTCGTACACTCTCAATTAGCCCATTTGTTATCTGTACTCGTTCTGTGCTTTCCTGTTATGCCTTCACCTTGTTTACTGTTGGCTTTGCATTGTCTTTTTCTTGTCACTGTCAGAAGCTCTATTTTTCCTACTGCAGGTTTGCCTCGTCTCTAGGTTGTATTGTTTTCAAGAGGGCATTGAAAATGACTCAGCTGAGGTATTGCGTATGAGCGCTTGGCCACCCAGTAGACCTGGGTGCTTTAATGAACACAACTGGGAGTGTTTATGTTTAGAAAGCAGGGGTGTGTGTCTTTGTTACTGTAGCAGCGTCTGGTGCTGATTGGTCAAAGCACCTGTTCAGTGTGAGGCAGATCTCGGAAACACGATTCTGCATGCATTAGTGGTGAAGCTTCTTGCTGTGTAGAACAACTGGCCATGGGGTATCTAGAACCTCCTCATGCCAATGGCAGTGGATATACTGCTGCTTTGGTGCTTTGACTCATGTTAGACCTTTTTCACAGGAGCCATTTTGACATGAAACGGTAGGGCAATCACAGGGATTACTAAGGACACTAATTAAGCCTCTGTTCTATTTAGCACAACAGCAGCACCCTGACTCTCAGAAAACAGAAAATCAATGCTCCATTTACATGGCAGACAGACAGCAGCTTCCTCACAGCACAGGAAAAACAAGCAAACAGTGTAACAGAATGTGTTGCTTATAAAAATGATATAAAATATATAAAATAGAATTATTTTGTGTATATTATTTATGTTATTTATTAATTATTACCATGGCAGTGTCCAGATTGTCAGTGTTTTCTTTCTTGTGTGAGGGAGATATGTAACATCTGGTTTTTAATTCTGTCACGGAGGACGGCAATAACTTTGGAAGTTGCCTATATACACAGCCATGTCAAAATGGTTGCTAACTAAAGTGAATTTGTTGTCCAGCAAGGACAAATATGCTAAGCTAAGCTAACAGACTACTGCCTGAAGCTTCATATTTAATGGACAGACATAAGAGTAGTTTCAGCAAGAAAACAAATAAGCGTATTTGTGAAAATGTTGAACTACTTCTTTAAAACATACATTAAAGTATATGTATATATAAGTACATGTCCCAAATTACATTTTTCCCGCAGCATTCACCTAAAAATGCTGAAAACTGTTTCCAAAGTTTGTATGTCAAGAATTAATATCTGCCCTGCCACTCTCACTTCCATTCTTGTCAACTACATGCAACCTTGCTAATACAGTGAATGAAACGTTGTAGGGGAACAGAAATATTCCAGTCATTCCTCTCCTTCTCTGCATCTGTGTCTGTTCCTTATCAACCTCGCACAATTTTAAAATCCATAGCCACTGGCCCGACCTGAGTCTCTGCAATCTTTATCCTCTTAGACCTGTCTGCTGCCCTCGGTGCCGCGAAACCACCAGGTAGGACGCTCACTGACGACTGTGCCAACCTTGAGAATGTAAAGACGTCTAGTAGTGTTTGTTGCAATTGCTGTACTGATGTTAAACTCTATATTCCTACCTCTCATGTACATTGATGTGACACCCTCATCTTCTGTTGACTTATACTGTAAATCAAACCAGCTCCTGTATCCTGCTAATAATCTTTGTCACTTTTCTGTTCCTCAGTGTGAGCACCAATCAGAATTAAACAAAATTACACAAAATGAGGTGAATGTGCTACTCCATGAAACTTGAAGGCACTCACGTTTCTTTGCGATAATACAGGGCGAAGGTGGTGGGCAGTCCCCCATCAGAGCCTGGCTCCCACCAGCAGGTGAAGGTCTCTTTTTCAGGGGAACGACATCTGTTCAGTGTGGGCTTCCCTGGCGGGCTGTTGCCTAAAGACAGACCGGCAAAAAGGGGAATGAAAGCAAATACATTACACACTAAACAGTATGTATTATGTAACAAAAAAACAAAAAACAGACAAGAGATGTGAATTGTGAATGATAATATCCCACAATAATATCCACAAATAAATAACACTTTTACTTACTTTTATGGCCTACCTAAAACTGACACCTCTCAGATGTCTTAACCAATTACCAAACACTACCAATTACCAATGACTATGTTACAAGGGTGGCTTCATCCAAACACTTACCGGTTCCCTTTGCATGTGGCGTGAAGACTAGCAGCAAGAACAGCAGGAAAACTTCCACAACTTTCTTCATTATGGCACCACAAAGCTTCTGCTGTTGGGTGGAGAAAGAAACAGAGAAAGGTGTAAGGGGGATATATCTGATCTGTGCTCTTGACAAATCACATGGCCTGCAATGTTTGATGCTGTCCGCCTGCCAGCACAACTGCTCGTCTTGGTGTAAGTCACAACATGCCTGCATGACAAAGAAAGCTGAAGCTGAGATGTTTTCATACTGTCAAAAGTGCAATATTAAAATGAATTTAAAGATAATTAGGAAGAGACAACATAGTAAATGTATGAACAGTTTAGAATTAGTCAGCAATTACTGGATACTGCTGAGGAGAAGACAGATGTTTGTCTTAAATTCCCCCTTCAGTCAAAGATCTGTTCTTCTTCTTGTTCCTACTGTGCAGAATGATGTATCTGCAGAGTTTGACACTAATAGGATGTTTACACCTTTGCAGAAAGTAGAAATTTTCTCTGTGCCTACAAGCATGATTTGTGACTCCACAAATAGTTTGGAGGTCAATCCTGGTCCAGGATCCAACTTAACAAAACAGACTTTACAGTGGAGCAGGAGGCATCTTGTGTCCAGCTGGAAAATTTTAGAAATGAGAACAATTTGCATTTTCATATATTCTGGAATTTTAGTAAGGTAGAAAGAGTAGATGTTTTAAATGATTTTAAAGCGAAATTATACCTTTTTTGTTGTTGTAGAAAATACACATCAGACATACATTACTGTTCCAAGCTGACTATTTCTACTGTGTATGTTGTAATACATGTCTGGAGGGAAACTTTGACTTACAGAACAGCCATGCCCTAAACAACCATGATACGTATAAAAAATAATACAAAATCTGACAACAGAATGGTAAACGTGATGAACTGAAAGAAAAAAAAGATCTTCTACAGAGAATGTATGCTGTTTAACTAAGGATTAAAAAACCTCCTCTCTGTGTCTGTCTACCTCCACCAGCTGGCATGTAACTGATTGCATAACCTGAGTTCAGGCTTTTGCCTCTACAACACAGACACAGGCTGGTTCGCCTCGCTGCTGTACGCATGACTTCTGCATTCCCTAGCCATGTGCAGATGAGAGAGAATAAGAGGAGGGGAGATGAGTTAAATAAGACGGGACAGCTGATGTTGCTACAGTGAAGAGTGCTGATTTTGCACTTCCCCTCACATTTTCTCTCACTTTCTTCCAGTTACCGGCCATGAGTTGTTGCTGTCAGTTGAGGATTTGACATATGCATGTTCACGTTCTCAGAATGGTCAACAAAAGTTCTTGAATGAAAAGGAATTTAGTCTAAATCTTACTAAGTGTTATTATACACCTCCAAAGCATTAGACTCTCAAAAAAACATTTTGCCAAACAAATAATGAGGGATGCAAAACCCAATTTGATTCTAATTTCCATGCAACGAAAAAAAGGCCTGAAGGTACAGGCTATAGGAAATGGAACGTAAATAATGTTTAACAAACAGAAGCTTGCAGTCAAAGACTATTATGTGACTGTATATCTTTATTTAAGGTAGTTACTACTAACTCCCTGGCTTAGAGTTACTACTTTAATTACTACTCCCTCAGAAAAAAACTTAACTTTAAAAACTCTTTAATTTGTGTCTAAAAAACGGTTACATCAGCCATATAGCAAGGCTCTCTGCTGGCTATGCTTTTTTTCCTACACACTTTAGGTGAAAACAGAAAAATGAAATCAGGAATGTATGTAGTATTTCTAAGAATTAAAGAACTCCTTTCAACTTGCAAAGACTACTCACTTACTGAGTGCTTTTGAATTTCTGCCAAGTATTTTGTTGACTTGACAGCACATGCATTTCACAAGATGTGATCCTGGTGAGGCTGCCTAGACATGTGTTGTAATATTATGTCTAGTGATATGCTAACTTAAATTATATTCAAACCGTATAATTCATAAAAAAAACCTCCTTGATATCCCTATTATCGTGAAAACTTTCAGCAAGTGAGAGTTGTCAACTCTTCTTTATGGTGCCTTCATTTCAATAACATCACCATGATCTGATAATTGGCATTAAGGTCAAGGCACTGGATTAGCCTCCTGCTGCATATAGCCTTCTTACGTAAGCAGTAGCCCAAACTGAATAAGCTGCTAAGCTGGGAAAGTGCAGGCTGACAGCGCAAAGCTCTTCCCTCACAGATAATATTGGTCTGAATGTTAAATTTTAAGTATATTATATTGATTCTAAGCACATTTTCTATTTTAATACATCTTTTTATGCAAGTTTTACTTCGGGAGCACTTGCCCCCTTCTCTTATTTGTTAATTATACTTTTTATCCCTTCATATTTATGATCATGAAAGGAAATAAACTTTAAGATTTCTTTCTAGCCCACTGCTCCCCCAGTACATAGAGTTAAATTAGCCAGTCACGTCATCGTCAGGCTAAGACCTAAATTCACACTAGTGGGTATGAATCATTTACGATTCGTGTTCGTCAGTGGCCTCTCAATTACAAAAGGTGAGGAGAGGACGTGTCAAATGACATGTTGAGGTAAAAATGTGAGCAGTAAAGCAAGATGATCCCTTTGGGCATGGTAGTACAACAGCCCAAAGGTGCTTTGCAAAGGTGTTGAATAAGGAATGTATCTTTCTCATACAGAGTCACAGAATTCTCAAGAGCACCGGACAGATACAGCTGAGCACCACAGCAGCAGAGGTACAACAGAGCCTGTTTCTAAGAACCTGGTTCTCTCTTCTGGAAGTGCACAAAGTACACAACATATCCTTAATGATTTACTGCACAGTCACGCATTTCAGTTTTACATTAACTTAATTTTTTACAAGCTAAAATCAAATGAGCAAATGGGGCTGTTTACATACTAAATCAAAATAACAATTCCCTTTCATGAGGGCACAAGTACTACACTGCCGCCAATATCGCATTTTAAAGCTTCAGTAAATAGACATGGAAACAGTGATAGTCTCTTCTGACCTTCAAGAACTGAGTGTACTGCGCAGTGTTTTCATAAAGTAGATCAACAGGTTTGACATGACACCGATGCATCTCATTGATCCTCTAATCTGTCCTCTTATTAGAAAATATTGATATTATATATTACAATATGTAAATCTGGCCAAGACTTGGTGTGCAGTTGGTGGGAAGAAATGTATAAAACAGATTCTGGGAATCACTCACGTCACACTATCTTTGAACTGTACTCCTGCTCAGACTGGAACAAAAAAACACTTCCAGGCACTGTAAAAACCGGTTTGAACACCCGCACCAACGGCTTTCTAGGAACTATTTTTTCCCCCTGATGTGGGTGATCAAATGCATAGGGCAACAGAAAACAAGATGTAGAACTTTAAGTTGTTGAGTAAATTTCAAGACGATAAAACTCCTCCCAAGTGAGATGAACACTTGGTTTTAATGACACCCATGGTTTTTGATCTATTGCCTCCCTCAGGACTAACTTTTAGTCATACAACTGGTGAAGCTGCACTGATTGAAATGTCAGTTCAATGACAATGCATATTTTAGTAGGGTTTACTACTTCAGTTAATATTTGTACACTTATTTAAAATGGATACTGTAGACTGACACAAGCTAGGAGTAGTATGATAAAAATCCCAGTTTAATACCAATCAATATGTTCAGATGTATTTCTCTGACATACTTCATTTTTATAAATGTTATTTCACTTCATAAACATAGGTTAATGTATCATTCACTGTACAGGCAGGGGTCAAGATAAACAGAAACTAAGCTAAAAGTGTAACAGTGTAGAAATAGGCTACTTACATGCAATAACAGCTATGCGCAAGTGCCCACATACATGAAGATACTGGAGGGGGAGAGTCACCTCAGTTAAAAAGTAGCTAGCTTATGAGGTACTGGACCAACAAACATAACAAAGCTAAACATTCATAATGCAAACTCTACTCCAGCATAATTTATCAAATATAGGTTTCAAGGTGAGTCATTCTGTTTGTGCCAAATTCTTAAGCTACCTTACTACTAAACTTCTTTTTAGGCGGCAGGAGTGAAAATTAGGCATCCTCAACATTATTTGTGTTATGATTTCAAGACAGCTAGAGAACACAAAATAGGATGGAGGCTCTACAGGATGATTTTTTAGCAAAATCACATAGATTTTTAGATTAAAAAGCTTTAAAAAAAAAGTGCATATAGTTGCCGTAACTGTGAAAAACAAAATCTCCTTGGGGGACTTTGCACGCAGATCCCCCTAGGTATGGGCTAGAAGGTCTGGTAGTAACTGCGACATTTTATACTGTGAATGTGTTGCCTGTAAAGCTGTACTTCTCTGTTGACTTGGCCAGCCTATATCCTGTGCCCTTCTGTGTTATTGAAGCACTCACGCATTGGCCGTAGCAGGAAATAGGCTGGTAAGATAAGGGAAATAACTAGAATGCCTGTATATAGTAATAATGGGTTCTGTGTTTAGAAGAGCAAAGCAATATTTGTGGAAGTGACATATAAGCCTGATGACACAGTAATTGTGTGTTTCTTAAGGTGAAACAATTGAACATCTTCGGACAGAGATGGAAATGTGAGGGATAGCTTTTTGACGTAGGTGGCTCTGCCAGTTATAATTGCAGCTGCAGGCTATCTGATGGTGGGCGTAATAACATCTGACCTCCGTCTGGTTTGCCCTTTATAAAATTGAGATATCGAGTGAAATTGCCATGTTGTTAATGTGTGTGTGAAAAGGCAAGAGGAAGAATCAAGACTTCCTTCGTCATTTAATTGAAACAAATTATGGAGAGTGCATTAGAGAGCAATTGCCTTACAAAACAGCACTAGTCATAAGAGAAGAGAATTTATTATCGTGAGTGACCACTTATTTTAGTATCAATCGCCTTGTGCGTCATATCAACAGTTGCCACCAAAGCTGCCACGTTCTAAATGTTAATATAATGTCAGGCTCAATAAAGCCTGCAGGTTCTATTCAAGCCAATGCTAACAGATTTAATATATCTGTGATATGATATGGGCTGGGACCTGTACAGAGAATACTTCATACATTACAGTGAATGTTCTGATATCAAATGAGCCTTTGTTGTTTGTGTTTTCAGTTGGTGTAACAAAAACCCAAAGCCAGCTCTACCTTTTCAGATCTGATCACACCCATAAGTTTATAAAATATTGGAAGATATTTGTTATCTAGTTGTCACACAAGATATGCGCTGCTTTAAAAATACTTTTTGAAACAATCTTATTTAGGTGTTATCAGGCTGTACAACCTATAATTACAGCTAGCATGCAATTCCCAACACTGTCTATATAAAGCCCCAGTACAGGACTGACTAATAGAAAGAGCCAGTAAGCTGCAGGCACCTAAAATTGTAATTCAGTATTGAGTTGATCAGCTCGGTGCTATAAAGGCTGATGTCCTCTTTCACCGCTTCCTAACCTGACCGAAGGCCAATAGGCATGTGGAGGAGGAGCAGATCATGAACACAGAAATCCCATTACACAAATAACTCCCCTGCATCACCATCCTCCTACGCAAAAGGAAATATCCTGCCGATCATTTAGCTGTCAGTCAGCGAATATGTCTTCATCCAGAGCGAAACAAGAAGAGATCACACACACACACACACACACACACACACACACACACACACACACAATTCCATATTGTGGGAGTCATTTTACAACTCCACTTCCCAGTCACCAGCCATTACATACAGTATCAACATCCTCAGAGTGAAGTTGTTGTACAGCAAGTTGTGACTTATCATCTCAACTAGCATTCACTGGTATTTCTCCTGTAATTTAACTTGACACCTTGTCTGTAGGTTAAATGAAGTACAAGTATGTGCAAGTTAGACAGATTTAATTTGGCAAAATCACTTAAATGACTCACATGTTCTGACAACCTGCCATCACTCACAAAGATGTTCATGAACTTACCATGCGTTTTATATTTATCTCAAACTCTGAAATCAATCATTAATAATAACAGTACTGTTTGGGTATTTAACTGTAAAAACAAGATTGATTTTCTTTCTTTTGTTGTTTATATTGTGACATATTTACACACACACACACACACACACACACACACACACACATATATATATATATAGTACAAATGCAAGCAAAAGGCAACAAATTATAATTATATATATAACAATAATATGTTCCATCAGTTTGGTACAATAATTAACACTTTATGACACATCTGTAACGTTCAGAGTTAGCTACTGAATGCAATAAAGTGATGTTGGCAACACTGTCAAACGGAGCGCCTCTGGGTTCATTCATAACCAGTTCTGAAGATTCTGTTCTGATTAGTAAATGCACATCTTACCAGCAGCTGACAGGAGTTTTCAGTCTTTCCCTCTGTGCCTTGGCCGTGGTGAGTCTTCTGCCGGCTCCCACAAGAGCGGACTTACCGAGTTGTCAAACTGGTTCACCGGGATGACATCAGACAAGCGCACATGCATTACCAACCGACCCGGGCAGCTTCCCGACAACGAAGAAATCGCTGTTGCAATATTCACTCTGCGCTCCTGATCCTGAGGAGGGCGGGGTTTAATGCCCCGCCCACGACTTGGGTTGCCACAGTTTCCAGGAGACTTCCAGGAGGTTGAGACATGCAGGACGTGGACGAGTTTGTTTGACATCAAGTTCCTCAAAGGCGTCTCAATTGAAAACAGACTGGAGGATTGGGAGCTTAAATGTTGTTCAATGTATAATCTTGTGATGCAGTTTGACTTTTTTTTGGTGCCCATTTATTTAATATTACTTAATATAACATTTTATATGTGTGTGTCTGTGTGTGTGTGTGCTACACTAAGGGATTGGGTTACATATCTAGTGCTTGTTGTGGTTAAGGTAACTGTCCAGGAAATTAAAGCAGTTTCTGTCTAAGTGACAAAAAAACTAGTGAGCAGTGGTCGAGTGGGGAAGTATATCTTCCTATTTAATGGCATATAGCCGTGATGTTGCGAAACTGAAAAAAATGTTACAGGCCCTACTTAGAGCCAGTGTTTGGTTTGTCCGTTCTATGGCAATTAAACATGGTGGACCCCTTAGAAAAGGACCCGCTCTGTAGATAAAAACTGCTCATTCTAAGGTAACAAAAACACAACGATTCCTATATTCAGGTGATTATACGCTAATGAAAACATACCTATGAATATCATATTCCATTTCTGGTATTTGATCCTCCTAAATGTTGCACACTGAACCTTTAACATTTATAATGTATTAGCCTTGGTGGCAACTGTTGCCATTACAAACAAGGCAATTGGTAGTCATTTTACTTAAGTTAAAGTGTCTAAGTATTATCAGGATAATTTACTTTAAGTGTTATAATTAAAGGACTCCATGTAGGCATCATTTATCATGCATTATTTATAAGCAGCATTTTACTGTTGTACTTGGTTGTGTAGTGCTATTTTGTATAGTAATGTAACTAAAGATTATTTTCATTATGGATTAATCTGGTGATTATTTTCTTGATCAATCAATTCATTTTTTGGTTTGTGCCCTAAGGTACTCCAGCATAGTCTGCCCTTGCTGTAAGTGTATTCAGTTTGTGTGTAAAAATATATATCCTATGGGATCCTGGTTCTCTCTGCAAAACAATAAAAGTCACCTCTTCTCAGGACAACACATGGTCATATTTTGCTGCTGCCTTAGTGACTTTTTACTGTATGTATGAACAAATATTGTAAAACCCGTTGTGACAATCAGAACATGCTGTGCTCGGCTAAAACAGTGTTTATCCTTTCACTGGTTCCTCTTACTGGGAGCTGTAAACATAGTCAGGTCTCCTAGCATTAACCCCCCACTCCCTCCTGTGCCCTCCCAAATTCTGCTCCTGACTCACTCTCTCTTATTTATGCATTAATGTGTGAGTTTATATCTACTTATAATGTTGAATATGTAAAGGATTAATACACTCCATTAATACACCATACATGTAGAAAAACACAAATTACATGAAAGAAAGATACAGACATATTTAATTGACAGCAGGATGTTACCTTGACCATGTTGTTGCCACAGAAAAGACTGTATGTATCTGTCTGAATAGCAAAAAGAGAGAAAGTAGTGCATGTTTTGTTTGGCAGCTGTCCCGAATAGGACTGACCAGGTATCGACGAAAGATATTTCAATGTGTGGGTGGCACCTGTTCTAAAGCATGAAGTAACAACCGAAGGTGTGTGAAAACATCTATACATAGGCCTACTGTCATTGGAAAACATGGTTGCACGATGGTGAGCCTGTAAAAGATCACAATTTTCAGCTGTTGGAAATTCACAAAGCTGACTGAATTTCAGATTCCTTTGGGGATCTTTAGGGATCTGTCTCTGTATCCGATCATTGTCTCCTGAACCGAACTTCCTCTTCTCTCATTGTGTTCAATTTCTAGGAAGCCACACCTACAGAGATCATACAGACACAGACGCAATCACACATATACATTTACGAAAAACATGTGGGCTGCAATTCCTGGAAAGTGGTAATGGTGCGGGGAGGTGTGTGTGCTTGGTTAAAATGTGATCTATCTACAGGTTAAATCATAAAAATAAAGTCAAGTAAATCATTGTTCACATATGAAGTATTGTATTGGTCTATATCAAACAGTGGAGTATTGTAATGTAGGTAGCCCTATACCTCCACCACTGCTTTCAAAGGCATAACAGAGGCATATTTGAACCTTTTATTGTGAAATATGTTCAATCAGTGATGTCTATGAAAGGTGAATACAAAAAGACGCTTATATTTTATTTGACATAAGAAAGACACCTACATTTAAATATAGCCTAGATATATAAAATGAAAGAAACAAGCAGTTGAATGGACTGAATGATGGCCCTGTATCAAGAGTGGCTTGGGAAATCTCTGCCCCGCCCCCCCCACCCCGTCAGCTCTACTTAGAAGCAATAATGTTATATAATATGGCCATCTGCTCTTCACATTGATTTAAAAGTCCCATTATGCCACACAGCCGTGGTGAATGCCAGTGAACATTTGAACAAGGACCCGCATGATGAATGCCCTCAATAGATGAATTCCAGAGTACAGTTTTTATTGTTTTTTTTATTACTTTCTCTGTCTGTCATAATAAATGTTTTGGTGTTGGGGGCGTGCGTGTGCGCATCAGTGGACGTGGTTGGAGCTGTTGGTATGACAGCTTGCGTGCCTGAGCTTGCCCGTTGATGCAGGTGGCGCTGTTGACAGAGAAGAGGACCTACAGTCACAGGTGAAGGACTGGGGGTCTGGCTCTTTGCAGAATAAATCAGTTGGCGGGCGTGTAAATCTGGTTTCCCTTAATTTGCTCTCCTAGTCGCTGGACATCTGGAATCAGGGGGCTGTGGGGATAAACCTTGGCAATCCACGAAGCGATCACGACCACGTACTGACATCTAGCGGCGCTTTTGGGAACCAACCCAATCCTGACCCCCGATTGTAAATATATACAGGATTTCGGGGTCTGTCTTTATTGATAGAGTATAGGCATTTGTCTAAAGGCCTACCTGTTGAAATAGCAGCCAATTAAACAGCAGACTGGGTTAGATTATTGTATAGTAATAGTATGGCTGCTATGATGTGATTAAAGAGAAAGAAAACATCTAAATACAATGTATATTTTTATGTTTTCTGAATGGAAGTAGTCTTTAGTGTAGAAGACGTCTAGGCGGCGGTAGAGGACCAATATTGCTCATGAAAGCCATTAAAGAAACAAACAAGTATTACTTGTAACTCATTGTGGTAGGCAGCTATGAATTAATAATAAACGAATGACTAAAAGGCATCATCAGTGTGACAAAATACCTGCCTGTTGACAAAGAGTTTTATTTTAAATGAATGAACAACTGTGCAAGAGGATGACCTCCGAGGCCGACTGTGAATAGGACATCTTCACATAACAGGACCAAGGGATGGTTGTGTAATACCACCACCAACACAATCTATATTAAAGGCCTATATTTTGCGCCACAGAAAATGCACATATGATTTTATCATGTCAAATGAAACGCATTGCACATATTAATCACGTTATGAATTCACATTTTGGCACGAGGGGTTAATCAAAGAGGTAAATCAACAAGCTGTCAATCAAAACAAACAAGCGAATATATAAATAGTCATCTAGATTACACTGGGCTACGTCTTTATGCTGTATTACATATATTAGCTATAACCGCATAATATACGCCTATTTTAGTCCATAGTCGTCATTGCTTATATGATTATTTTCAGTCTCTTATCGCTTGTTCCCAGAGTTAATTGAATTTCCCACGGTCACTCCTCTAACTTCTGCCGCTGCATCGACCTAAATTCGTGATGCGGATCAGTAGTTTGATCTGGTTCTTTCTGTGCAGCTGGCCTGTGATTGGCTGTGCGCTACCATAGCCCCGCCCCTAACGTGAACGCGCTCAGAGCTGAATGCTGATGACCAGGGCGAGTGACCACCTTCATGAGACTATTCAGCTGGAAACGGTGACGTTATAAATTATACACAAGCCTAAAACAAGCATGACAATGTTAAACTTAGTTGCTTTGCGAGACACAACCTCACACACCTTGAAAAAAAGGGGGGTAAAAAAAACCACAGACACACACGGCACACCCCAGACTCACGCCCACTGCGTATTTCATTGGCTGATGAGAAGCTTTGAGGGACTTCACGACGCACCTGATTGGTTGATGCTGACAGCAATCAAGTCTAATCGGCACACGATTGGCTGAGCTATTAGGAGGAAGTCAAGTGTCAAACGTTTCGGGGATAAGCTCGGAGTTGACAAAAGCGATCTGTCTCAGTTGAAACATTTTGGACACAGTTTTTTTTTTTTTATCACCAACTTGTGTCCTAGACGGACCACGCTGGCGAGGATTACGTTGTCCGCCTAAGAACCAAACCCCCGCTCCGAGCCAAGGACTCGATCCTACGGTGTACTTGACCACCACCGCACGGCAGAGAGAGGAAAGTGGGACTTTATTGTTCAAGGCTAGCTAGCTAGCTTTGCCAAGCGGCTTGTTTTTGTGTGTATAGCGTGGACCGCAGGCTATATGGCTGCGACTTACGAGCCAATATATGGACTTTCAGAAGATGAGGTAAGCCTTAACATAAACAAAGCTTTCTTATGTAGACAGAAGTAAAAAAAAAATGAATAAAATAAAATAAAATAAAAGGGTGTCTCTCACAGATAGCAAACACCAGCGTTAGCCGTGAGTCAAGCTAACCCTCACTAACGGTATCAGTCTATAGTAATGTTCAGGCAGCTGTCAGTACCCTGCCCCCCCCCCCTGCCAGCATGTCCATTACTTCACTCACCTTAATTTCAGATACGACTGCACCACTTTGCCTTCAGAGTATTGCAATGAAACCGTTCAGTTTGACCGAGCAATAATAATAATAATAATAGCCTCGCTACACCCTCTTATTTCAATGCATGTGTGAACGACTTGTAGCTCGATTAGTAGTATGGAGGAGGAATTGGTTTGTCTGGGTTAGACGGC